AACGAGTAAAGTATCAATTTCTGCAAATGTTCCATTAGTATAGTTTTACTCGTTCATTTATACAGTTATACTATTGAAAATGAATTCAGTTAGATGTATGCTAAACATAGAGGGTTTCGAAAATCATTTGCTCCCTGTTTTTTATTTTTTATTTTTTATTTTTTTATTTTAATAAATGGTTTATCTGGGAATAGAACTTAGAATCTTATTAGTCATTGCCATATTTGCCCCCGGAATTCTTCTTATTATCATTATTATTTTTATAATGCCTTCTTGCAACCGAACTGAGTATACAGGTTGACACCCAAAGTGACATTCTAACTTGGCTTTTCCAGGAGAAGGACGACGGAGGAGGAAGAGGCCGGTTCAAATCACATTCAAATGCCCCTGCTCGAATATCTGATAGAGAAAAGAAGGCTCCCTTGAAGACATAACTACATGGATGGAGCTTGCAATTTTGTGCGGTGTTCTTGTATCAAGGATGGTGCCAGAGATCAACAAGTTTTAGTACCTAAAGATGATTGTGAAAGTCTATATCTATCACCATATGAACTATAGTCGTCATGCTAGAGATTTCTTAACATTCTTTAATGGAGCCTACTCATAAGAGTAGAAATGTTTTAGCCTCTGGGTTGTATTTTGAGTTGTTAGTCATAGTTGGAGTCGAATGTGAGGTAATAGTGCAGCTTTCTTACTTTGAGAAAATAAATATGTTATAATAGCATTTAAGTTCATCTATGAAACACAGCTTGAGTACGATATATCAAACCTATTTTAACAAAACTGTCTCCACCAAGAATGACAAAATTCACGTATCCACTTCAAATCAATGTGATGTATAAAGATGGATGTGTGGAGTACAAAAATTTCAGGTAAAAAATGTTCTCAGTATTTTATCGTTTACCAAACTTGATATTGTATTCGTGTGAATGTTATTATGTCGTGTTTGGGAGTACCAGAATTGGAATAAATTTAGTTCAAATGTTAACTCAAGTTTTTTCAATTTTAAATCCAAGCCTCCGACTAGATACTCCAAACATAGCTTTAATGTAAATGTTAGATCAAAATTTGATCTCTACAAGGCAGCAGTAGTGAGCACGCCTAGTTTTCAGTCTTTGGTGCCTTGGAAATGTCTAAAATTACACAAAGTTAAAATTATATATTCGAGCTGAGGGGTTCCTTGCCGTGTTCTCTCTCTGTATTTATTTTTTGCATAGTAAAAATAGAGCTACAAACGTTTTAAGAAGTTGGAATCAATAGATCCCATAGTAATAAATCTTCGTCAAATGCATTGGACATACAACTAATTTGATGTGAATAGAGAGGCTGATGTCTTATGATATTAGTCCGCATTATTTGACTTTCTTACTTCAAATAGTTATTTTATTATTCTACTTAAAATAAACTGTTTATATTTTAAGGTTATTTATTTGTTGGTCCTCTCTTATTTCCAAAAATAATATGCACATTGACACAATATGTACACTGTATCTGCATGGACACAACCAATCAATGAACTCATTCGAACCAGATGGTGAAAGTAATAATTCTATGTTTTTAACCATAAAGAATATAGAAAGCTTCAATTTTATCTTGACAACTCAAAATATGTTAAAAGGACAAAGTTTTAAAGTGGACTCCTCGACTTTGTAGTGGAGACCCAAATTAATGGTTTTTACATACACCAGAGTTTAATTAGATGTGTGTTTGTTTTTTTTAACTATTAGAAGAAATTAAAATTTTATTTTTTATGCATTAAATTTCACAAATATATATTACTTGTTATTAACGTATAAATGTGTAAATTAACCAAAAAATATATATATATATATATAAATGTGTAATAGTAATTTTTATGATTATCTATTACTACTTTTATCCTAAAAGAATGTCGCTTTTTGGAAACCCGACTTACATTACGGTTCCCAAAAAGTGACATCATTTCTTACACGGGTGGTAATATATGATCTTGGTTGGAACTTAGGTGTATCAATATTCCAATTGTTCGTAAATTACAAGTGAAATAGAAAATACAAAAAAATTAAATTAATAAGGGATGGGTAGTGGAGAGGAACAGACAAATTAACAACTAATATTTTGCTATTAACTCTCCGATGTTTGATGCAACCGTGTTACATAATTAGATGATAGTAAATGAATGAAACAAAGTCTCTTTTTTCTCTCCCTTGCAAATTGCAACAATTGACTTAATATTAAATTTTGTTTGTTTGTTTGATTTATTGTTATTATTTTTTTTTCATTTTAATTTTAAAGTTATGACTTTGCGAAAGTTTAGTTTTGATATAAAATAATAACATTACAAGATTCATCTCACAAGTTACTTCTTAATGAACAATTCATTTAGATTAACATTTCTTTAGGCATAAATGAGTATTTTTACATAAAATTGAATTTTTGGACCACTTGATAAATATATATATATATTATACATCACTAAAATAACATAGCACGACTCACACATTTTATTTATTTATTTATTTTAACAAGAAACACACACTTATTTATTATTCCATTGAGAATGGGGAGATAATACAATAGCAGGACATTTAAAGTTGACTATTCATATTTGTTGTCCATCACTCATTTTCTATCAACTATACAAGTGGTGTGAATTATTTCCACATTGGCCGACAATCTCGAACGACTCTACCCTTTTCGTCAACCCTCTTTGTCTTGCACTTGTTGGTCTGAATTTGATTACTTGCAGCAAAACCCATTTTGATCTATCATATTGTGTATTGCTCAATCTTTCACAAACTCACCCCCATCTCTTTCTTATTCCTTTGCTTATTGCTCTACGAACCAGATCGATGGAGGTTGCCACGGAGGTTGCTGCGGGGGTGTTTCTGGGGCCTATCTTTGAGAAGCTGCGAGACATTTTGGTGTCTCTGGTGGTGCCAAACTATTCCCGTCCAGAGGAAATCGATCTCAATCTTGAGTTGAAGAAGTTGCAGAAAATGTTGCCTGAGATTCGTGCTGTTCTCGCCGCCGCAGAGGAGAAGCAGATGACAGATGAAAGTGTCAAATCGTGGATGGACGATCTCACGGACTTGGTTTACGATTTGGATGATTTGCTCGACGATTTCGCTACTGAATCTTTGCGAATCGAGGCAGAATCTGAAGCTAGCAGTAGCACCACTCCTCCTAGTAAGATGCAAAAACTATCTCTACTTGTTTCACACGTTTCACTACTCCTAGTGCTGCTGTTAAGCTTGATTACAATATGATGTCCAAAGTAAAAGAAATCAACGACAGATTAAAAGATATTGAAGCTCGCAAGAATACCCTGAATTTGAATGTAGATGTTGGAGGGAATAGATCCAACACAGTGTAAATGTTATTATGTCGTGTTTGGGAGTACCAGAATTGGAATAAATTTAGTTCAAATGTTAACTCAAGTTTTTTCAATTTTAAATCCAAGCCTCCGACTAGATACTCCAAACATAGCTTTAATGTAAATGTTAGATCAAAATTTGATCTCTACAAGGCAGCAGTAGTGAGCACGCCTAGTTTTCAGTCTTTGGTGCCTTGGAAATGTCTAAAATTACACAAAGTTAAAATTATATATTCGAGCTGAGGGGTTCCTTGCCGTGTTCTCTCTCTGTATTTATTTTTTGCATAGTAAAAATAGAGCTACAAACGTTTTAAGAAGTTGGAATCAATAGATCCCATAGTAATAAATCTTCGTCAAATGCATTGGACATACAACTAATTTGATGTGAATAGAGAGGCTGATGTCTTATGATATTAGTCCGCATTATTTGACTTTCTTACTTCAAATAGTTATTTTATTATTCTACTTAAAATAAACTGTTTATATTTTAAGGTTATTTATTTGTTGGTCCTCTCTTATTTCCAAAAATAATATGCACATTGACACAATATGTACACTGTATCTGCATGGACACAACCAATCAATGAACTCATTCGAACCAGATGGTGAAAGTAATAATTCTATGTTTTTAACCATAAAGAATATAGAAAGCTTCAATTTTATCTTGACAACTCAAAATATGTTAAAAGGACAAAGTTTTAAAGTGGACTCCTCGACTTTGTAGTGGAGACCCAAATTAATGGTTTTTACATACACCAGAGTTTAATTAGATGTGTGTTTGTTTTTTTTAACTATTAGAAGAAATTAAAATTTTATTTTTTATGCATTAAATTTCACAAATATATATTACTTGTTATTAACGTATAAATGTGTAAATTAACCAAAAAATATATATATATATATATATAAATGTGTAATAGTAATTTTTATGATTATCTATTACTACTTTTATCCTAAAAGAATGTCGCTTTTTGGAAACCCGACTTACATTACGGTTCCCAAAAAGTGACATCATTTCTTACACGGGTGGTAATATATGATCTTGGTTGGAACTTAGGTGTATCAATATTCCAATTGTTCGTAAATTACAAGTGAAATAGAAAATACAAAAAAATTAAATTAATAAGGGATGGGTAGTGGAGAGGAACAGACAAATTAACAACTAATATTTTGCTATTAACTCTCCGATGTTTGATGCAACCGTGTTACATAATTAGATGATAGTAAATGAATGAAACAAAGTCTCTTTTTTCTCTCCCTTGCAAATTGCAACAATTGACTTAATATTAAATTTTGTTTGTTTGTTTGATTTATTGTTATTATTTTTTTTTCATTTTAATTTTAAAGTTATGACTTTGCGAAAGTTTAGTTTTGATATAAAATAATAACATTACAAGATTCATCTCACAAGTTACTTCTTAATGAACAATTCATTTAGATTAACATTTCTTTAGGCATAAATGAGTATTTTTACATAAAATTGAATTTTTGGACCACTTGATAAATATATATATATATTATACATCACTAAAATAACATAGCACGACTCACACATTTTATTTATTTATTTATTTTAACAAGAAACACACACTTATTTATTATTCCATTGAGAATGGGGAGATAATACAATAGCAGGACATTTAAAGTTGACTATTCATATTTGTTGTCCATCACTCATTTTCTATCAACTATACAAGTGGTGTGAATTATTTCCACATTGGCCGACAATCTCGAACGACTCTACCCTTTTCGTCAACCCTCTTTGTCTTGCACTTGTTGGTCTGAATTTGATTACTTGCAGCAAAACCCATTTTGATCTATCATATTGTGTATTGCTCAATCTTTCACAAACTCACCCCCATCTCTTTCTTATTCCTTTGCTTATTGCTCTACGAACCAGATCGATGGAGGTTGCCACGGAGGTTGCTGCGGGGGTGTTTCTGGGGCCTATCTTTGAGAAGCTGCGAGACATTTTGGTGTCTCTGGTGGTGCCAAACTATTCCCGTCCAGAGGAAATCGATCTCAATCTTGAGTTGAAGAAGTTGCAGAAAATGTTGCCTGAGATTCGTGCTGTTCTCGCCGCCGCAGAGGAGAAGCAGATGACAGATGAAAGTGTCAAATCGTGGATGGACGATCTCACGGACTTGGTTTACGATTTGGATGATTTGCTCGACGATTTCGCTACTGAATCTTTGCGAATCGAGGCAGAATCTGAAGCTAGCAGTAGCACCACTCCTCCTAGTAAGATGCAAAAACTCATCTCTACTTGTTTCACACGTTTCACTACTCCTAGTGCTGCTGTTAAGCTTGATTACAATATGATGTCCAAAGTAAAAGAAATCAACGACAGATTAAAAGATATTGAAGCTCGCAAGAATACCCTGAATTTGAATGTAGATGTTGGAGGGAATAGATCCAACACAGTGCCAGGAAGACGGGAAACCACTTCTTTGGTAGTCAAATCTGATGTCTATGGTAGAGAAGAAGATAAAAATGCTATTCTTGACGAGTTGTTGAAGGCTGAAACTAGTGATGATAACAAAGTGTCTGTCATTCCTATTGTGGGTATGGGAGGGATCGGTAAGACAACTCTGGCTCGGCTGGTATATGATGATGATCGACTAAAGGGTTATTTTGATCTCAAGGCATGGGTCTGTGTTTCTGATGATTACGATGCTGTTAGAGTGACGAAGACAATCCTTGAGGTGGTGACTTCAAAGTCTCATGAGTTACAGGCTTTAGATATGCTTCAGGTGAAACTGAAGGAGAGCTTGTCAGGCAAAAGATTTCTTCTTGTTTTGGATGATATTTGGAACGAGAAGTATGCAGACTGGGAGCTCCTACGACGTCCTTTTATGTTTGGGGCACCTGGGAGCAAAATTATCGTCACAACTCGGCTTGAAAACGTTGCATCAACCATGAGTCTGTCTCCAAGTTATCCTCTAAAATTGCTGTCCAAAGATGAATGTCTATCCTTATTTACTCATCATGCACTCGAGAAACAAAACTTTGATGCACATCCAAATCTGAAAGGAATTGGCGAGGAAATAGTGAGTAAATGTAAAGGGTTGCCTTTGACAGTCCTAACACTTGCTGGCCTCTTGCGCACTAAGAAACTCCAGAGTGAGTGGGAGAATATATTGAATAGCAGAATATGGGATTTACCTGAACAAAGAAGTGGTATTCTTCCAGCTCTTAAATTGAGCTATCATCATCTCCCATCTCATTTGAAGCAATGCTTTGCTTACTGTGCAATATTTCCAAAAGATTATGAGTTTCACATAGAGGAGCTAGTTTTGTTGTGGATGGGGGCAGGTCTTTTGCCGCGTTCAACAGAAAAGAATCAGATGGAAGATTTTGGCAAACAATATTTTGATGATTTGTTATCAAGGTCGCTTTTTCAACAATCAAGTGGTAGTAAGTCACTGTTTGTGATGCATGACCTTCTTAATGATCTAGCTCTACATGTTGCCAGAAATATATTCTTTAGGCTGGATAAGTTTGAGGGTGATGAGCAATTTAAAATTCCTAACCGAGCTCGGCATTTGTCATATATTCGTCAAAAATTTGAACAACTCCAAAAGTTCAGGCCTCTTGGTGAAGTTCAGCATTTGCGAACTCTGTTAGCATTACCAATTCAGACACATTTTGCTCACAATTATTACTTAGCAAACAAGATATTGTTTGATTTATTGCCAAAGTTACGATGTTTAAGAGTGCTGTCTTTGTCTGGTTATTTCATAACTGAGCTACCGGACTCGATTGGTGATTTGAAACATCTGAGGTATCTTAATTTATCTCGGACTTCAATCAAACAGTTACGTGAATCGGTGAGTAATCTCTACAATTTAGAAACACTGTTGCTGCGTGGTTGCAAAAAACTTTCAATGTTGCCCCCAAACATTGGAAATTTAATTAATTTGCGCCATCTTGACATTGCTGGTACTGTGCAATTGCAAGAGATGTCCCTAGAGATCGGTAGACTGACGAATTTGCAAACACTGTCAAAGTTCATTGTGGGCAAACAGAATATGCCAGGACTAAAAGAGTTGATGAATGTGAGGCTTTTACGGGGAAGTATTTCTATTCAAGAGTTGCAAAATGTTCGAGATGAAAATGAGACGAATTTATGGGCTGGGCAAGACATTGAAGAATTAGAGTTGGCATGGAGTCGCGAGTTCAACGATCTTCGAAAAGAAAAGCTTGAATTGGATGTGCTTGCGAAGCTAAAACCACACAAACACTTGAAAAGGCTCACTATTGAGTTCTACGGGGGCACAAAATTTCCAAGTTGGATAGGTGATCCATCATTCTCTGAAATAGTGAAACTGACTCTTGGAGGCTGTAAAAAATGCATATCCTTACCGGCACTGGGGCAACTACCCAAGCTCAAAGAGCTACACATCCGAGGCATGCATGGAGTACAAAATTTGGGAGTTGAGTTCTACAGGGATGATTTTTGTCTGGGACATCCCTTCCCGTCATTGGAAAGTTTGATATTTGAGGACATGCCGGCGTGGAAAGAATGGTCATGTTCTACTGGTGTTGAAGAAGCTACAAGTCAATTCCCCTGCCTCCGCGTGTTCACAATACGTGATTGTCCTAAATTGATTACGGTTCCACTTTTGAGGCTTCCCTCTCTTGAAACATTATATTTGGAAGAGTGTCATGGGGCGGTCCTAAAAAGTATAGTTGATGTGATCTCACTAAGTAAGTTGGAAGTTAAGAATATCATAGGGCTATATCAGTTTGAGGAAGCATTGGTGCGGTCGTTGGTAGGGCTTCAGAGTCTTGTCATCATAGGATGCAACCAACTTGTGTTCTTTGCAAAGACAGGTGTCTCGCCCACGCTCAAATCTCTTACAATATGGAAATGCGAGGCATTGACCTCTCTGCCAGATGGCATGTGCGGACTTGAAAGCTTGGTAATTGATGAATGTTCATCATTGACGTCTCTGCCCGATGGCATGTGCGGACTTAAACACTTGGAAATTAATAGATGTTCATCATTGACGTCCTGGCCCACCGTTGGGTTACCCACAGCCCTTAAGGTTCTTACAATTAGTGATTGCATGAATTTGGAGTATTTTCGGAAGGTTTCAGAGCCGACGATGATGCTACAGCAGAAGGAGAAGGAAGATGACTTTAACAACATCAATGTTATTAATATGTCATCACTTGGATGCTTAAGCATCTCGAAGTCGCCAAAGGTTGAAATGTTACTACTACCTGGGGTTGAGGGGTGCGTAAATAATAATAATTTCGCTAGTCTCCGTGAATGGCATATATTGGATTGCGATGTCTTGGAGTCGTTGTCCTTCCCAGAAAGAGGCTTACCCAACCTCAGATGGCTTACAATCTACAATTGCGTGAATCTCCAATCCTTGGCTATGACCAACCAGATTCTTCAAAGCCTCGAATCCCTTGAAATCTACAGTTGTGAAAGTCTGGAGTCCATGTACTTCCCGGAAAGAGGAGGCTCTACCCCCAACAACCTCAGATGGCTTACAATCATATATTGTTCAAATCTGAGGCGGTTGCCATTTTTTGATCAGAATAGTCAAACCCTAAGTGAGCTCACAATATATGATTGTCCATGTATTATGACGTCCTTTCATCAAGGGAATTGGAATTTGCCCCCCAACCTAATCAAACTTACTATTCGTGATGGTGGGAAATTAGAGAAGCCCTTGTCGGAGTGGGATCTGCAAAGACTCACCTCTCTTCGACGATTCGAAATTGATGGGGGATATCCAGAGCTGGTCTCCTTTCCTCCTCGTGATCTGCTTCCTTCAACTCTAACCTTATTAAGGATCGAGAAGCTGCCGAATCTGGAATCCATACCATTGAAGGCCCTCCAAAATCTCACCACTCTTCAACATCTAATCATCTCTCACTGCCCTAAGCTTCGATCCTTACCAAAGGAAGGCCTGCCTTCCACACTTCTAAGTCTTCAGTTGGTTGGTTGTCCAAATCTTAGAGAACGATGCCAAGGTGACTACTGGCCCAACATCCCCTACGTCAATTTAGATGCCGAGTTCCCCAATATGTTATTGTTTTAGTGAGGTAAGCAAATCGAGCTCATGTTTTTTTCATTTTCTAAAGTCTGATGCCTCTTATTTTGCATACATCCAATATGATCATCACCACGTGCATCAAATTTCCTCCTCTTTTCTTTTGCATCAATTAAATTTTATTTTATTTTTTTAAAATGCTTAATTTTATTGATTACGCAGCCAAAAGGAATTCGAGAAAATAAATAATGTATTTCACCAAAACAGTACCTTCTTGTTGTTGTTGTTGTTGTTGTTTTTTTTTTTTTTTTTTTTTAATTTATTTTTTATTTTTTTATTTTAATTTTGTTCCCTAAATATGGACGACAGTTCAATGTTGCTACATAGATTAAAAATCTGTAGTGGTCTAATGATCACTTGATTAATCAAACAATTAAACATCTCCTTGATTGGTCAGTGTTGAATCATGTAATGTTATGGAATAGGGAAGCTTTTTGTTATTCTGTAACGTCTGTAACGTCGTGTAATGAAAGGAGTACTTTTTCCGTAAATAATCTTAATTTATATCTTCTCACACGTTGATTTTATACTTTTTCCTGTAAATAATCTTAACACTAGCACTTTACCTTTAAGAAATATATACTGCTGTTTAAAAATGAAAAAAAAAAAAGAAAAAAAGAAAAAAAAGAAAAGAATTTTTAAAATTTTTATATAATATATTATATATAATTATTTTTTAAACTTATTCATACCATATTCGTGTTTTATTGCAACTTGGAAATAGGATTATTGCATCTCGTTGCTTTAAAATAAGATTATTGCAACTTGGAGTCTGTTTTGGTTAGAAGTTGTAATAGAAGCATTGGGTATGTCACAGTTCTGTTCCTTTGCATCTGCGGCTCTGCCTTATTGTCTGATAAATGAAATTGCTGTAATACGTACAGGAACTGATAAAATTTGTGACAATCAGACTGTCATTTCACGGTATTGAAGTCCTTTTAACGAATGGGCAACCCCGGTAACAGTTCCTATAGATTCAACAATTCCAATCAGTTGAAGACATATAGCGGTTCGTCTAAAGGTATTTTCTTCAGCATCACTGCAGACTGATTTTTTCTGCCCTTGCTGTCCCTGTGGCTGTTGTTTTCATCCTGTTCTCTTTCCAAAATTACTGACCTCTAAAATTACATTGCCCACATCCCCTACGTCAAAATTACTGACCTCCAAAATTACTGATCTTAGAGAACGATATCAAGTCCTAATTTGTTTTTTTCATTTTCTAAAGTCTGATGCCTCTTATTTTTCATACATCCAATATGCTCATCACCACATGCATCAAATTTCCTCCTCATTTCTTGTGCATCAATTAAATTTTATTTTATTTTTACAAAATTCTTAATTTTATTGATTCTGTAGCCAAAAGGAATTAGAGAAAATAAATCATGTATTTCACCAGGACAGTTCAATGTGTTTTTTATTTATTTTTGTTCCCTAAATGTGGACAACAATTCAATGTTGCTACATAGATTAAAAATCTGTAGTGGTCTAATGATCACTTGATTAACCAAACAATTAAACATCTCCTTGATTGGTCAGTGTTGAATCATATAATGTTTAGGGAACAGGGAAGTTTTTTTGTTGTTCTGTAAGGTCACGTAATGAAATACTTTTTTTCTATAAATAATCTTAATTTATATCTTCTCACATGTTGATTTTATACTTTTTTTTTCTTTAAATAATCTTAATACTAGCACTTTACTTTAAGAAATATATACTGCTGTCTAAAATATAAAAAATCATACTATTATCTTCACCCCCACGCCAAAATCAACATTCCTGTGTCCGCCTCTGCATTGAGTGTGTTTGTACTCAAATGAACTTTTGGAGGAGAAAAAGTATGAATCACAAGAAATGAATTGCGCTTCTTGTTAATCAACTATATATTTTTGCAGCTTGGAGTCTGTTGTAGTTGGAAATTCTTATGGGAGCATTGCCTATGTCACAGTTCACTATTCATATGTTCCTTTGCATTTGCGGCTCTGCCTTATTGTCTGATAAATGAAATTGCTGTAATACATACAGGAGCTGATAAAATTTGTGACAATCAGGTATTGAAGTCTTTTTAACGAATGGGCAACCCGGGTAATAGTTCCTATAGATTCAACAATTCCAATCAGCTGAAGACGTATAGCGGTTCGTCTAAAGGTATTTTCTTCAGCATCACTGCAGACTGATTTTTTCTGTCCTTGCTGTTCCTGTGGCTGTTGTTTTCATCCTGTTCTCTTTCCATAATTACTGACCTCTAAAATTACATTACCTATATGTGTGTGTTTTCAATAGAGTTTGAGACTTGAAATTTATTTCTTGCATTTGTTTCCTCAAAATTGTTCTAGATACTGCTCTTGGCTACTAACCTTGTGCGATTTTTCTGCTCCGACTGATTTATCTTTGTGTTTTATTAGATAAGAATTCTATAGAATAGCTCTTGTATGCTTATTTGTAACAATGTTGATGTGAATAGGACTTTGAGAAATATAATTTCATCTACAGTATTTCAGAAGACATTTTTTTATATTTACTTTTTTATTTATCTTTGTGTTTTATTAGATAAGAATTCTATAGAATAGCTCTTGTATCTTATTAATTGCTGTAGACATTAAAATTTTGCAGTGCTCTAATGGAAGTTTTGAATTGTTCTTCCTCCCTATTTAGGTATATTAGTTTGATTAATCGTCTTGTCTATTAGGTATGGGTGCCCAGGAAAGGCGACTGTGGATGCTTTAGCGGTGTTTGAAGGGAGGAATTATGGAGTTGTGAATTTGGGAAGTTGTACTCTGTGTTGCTGTCTAATTTGTACCTTAGTTTTGGAAGTTTCTTTTTCATTTATGGAGGAAGATTATGTAACCAATATTAGGGTGTGCCTGGTTGGCTGTCTTTCACTTTGTTTAAGAATATTTACATGAATCGTCCTTCACTTATATTAAAACCACTCCGAAAAGTCACCAGGAAAGCTTCGTAGCAAGTGTTTAGTAAAAAAAAAAAAAAAAAATGAGAGCATAGTTGAAATCAATGTGAGAGCACTCATGAGTTGTGCTTCCTAAAAATTATGGAAATAGTGTTTTGTTTGGGCAGTTTAAGACATGTATCCACTCTTAATCAATCATCGACTGTTGAATTGTATGGGTATTCACTTTTTACTCATTGTTATCCACTCACTTAAATTTGGATGCCCAAAAGAGGACAAAATAAAACTATTCAGATCAACAAACATATGGAACTAAAAACCACTCAGTTAAATTTGGGAGGCGCCCAAACTAATACAAATATCATAAAATTATGAATATAAAATTTAAATATATAATATTTTTTATCTTCACAATAGAAATTCTACCATATATTTTTTATTGTGTTAGAAGATCTAAGACAAAATTAATTATAAAGCAAAATCATTTTATGTATTCAAAAATACATTTATGTTGTGTTTGGAAGTACTAAATTGACGATTTGAAATTGGAATTGAAATTAAATTCAGTTTATAATTTAAACTAAATTTCCTCCAACTTCAAATTCAATTCTTTGATTCAATTAATCAAATTTTATTTTACATAGCATGTACAAATTGGAGAAATGATTTAACCCAATATCATAAATCTTATATATCCAATTTAAGTATGACTTGCAAGTTGGAAAAATAAATAAAAAGCCACCGTGTTTCTGTGCATTACTAGTTACTACTATATATTGGGCCTTTACGAATATCTAATGGGTTTTTGAATGGCCCAAAGCATGTGGGTTTTGGAAGGGTCTATTACTAATAATGTCTCATCATGAGACTCTCATGTAAGTTTGGGGGACCAAATATATCAAACACAAAAACTTTTAGTACTTCCTCTGTCCCTTAATAGTAGTCTTTTTTTTTTTTTTTTTTTTTTTATATGTCCCAAATTAGTTATCTTTTTTAAAAAAATTAAAGCATCTTTTCTTTATATTTCCATCATTATCTTTTATCTTTTTAAAAAATTTCAAATTTTGTAACTATATATATTTAAATTAAAAAAGGACAGAGTAAGTTTATTAAACTGTCGAAGCAACAACTTTCTTCGTGTTCATCACGACAGAGTAAGTTTACCCTAAGATGCCTCATGTCGATTCTGGAGTACATAGTTTGAGACTCGGCACCAACTAACCTTCTAACATTTATCCTTAAAAAAAATAATAATAATAAAATAAATAAATAAATAGTTTAAGTTACCATGACACCCAAGATATTGCTGAAATGGCATCCTAAGAAAATGGATGGAGAATAAAGATTTCACATTTGTTGTCCATCACTCATTTTCTATCAACAATACAAGTGGTATGAATTATTTCCACATTGGCAGCCAATCTTGAACGACTCTACCATTTTCGTCAACCCTCTTTGTCTTGCACTTAATCTGAATTTGATTTTTTTTTTTTTTTTTTTTTTTTACATTTTAATTTTGAAGTTATGAGTCCGCAAAAGTTTACTTTTGATAGAATAAAAAATAAGAACATTACAAGAATCATAGTTACTTTTTAATGAACAATTCATTTAAATAAAATTATAACCGATTAATAAAATTAGTCTCTTAGATAATTTTTTAAAAAATAAAATATTAATAAATTAATAAATTTTACATAGCAGTTGGAAAATATCATATGCCATTTTACAACCTCAAATTTTGTTGAGAGATAAGAACTCTAATTCAATTGAGAATGGGGGAGGTAATACAATTGCAAGCCCTTTAAATCCGACTCTGTATTTTATTAAACAATCAAAGCAACAACTTTTTTCATGTACATCATAATAGAGTAAGTTTACCTTAAAGTGTCTTATGTTGACTCTTAGAACGCACGATTTCGAGACTCGGCACTAATTAACCATTATCATTTACCCTTCAAAATAATAATAATAATAATAATAATAATAATAATAGTTTAAGTTATCGTGACACCGAAGATATTGCTAAATGGCATCCTAATAAAATGAGTGATGGAGAATAAAGATTCCACATTTGTTGTCCATCACTTATTTTCTATCAACTATACAAAGTGGTATGAATTATTTCCACATTAGCGGACAATCTTGAACGACTCTACCCTTTTCGTCAACCCTCTTTGTCTTGCACTAGCTTGGTCTGAATCTGATTAGCTGCAGCAAAACCCATTTTGATCTATCATATTGTTGTATTGCTCGATCAATCTTTCACAAACTCACCCCCGTCTCTTTCTTCCTTTGCTTATTGCTACTTGTTATCCATGGAGGCTGTGGGAATCGTTACCGTGCCGATCATTCAGGTGCTGGTTGACAGGTTGTTCTCTCTGGCGGAGTCAAACTATGCCCGTCGAGGGGAAATCGATGGTCAGTTGAAGAAGTTGCAGGAAATGCTGCCAGATATTCGTGATGTTCTGGCTGACGCAGAGAACAAGCAAATGACACACGAAGGAGTCAAGCCGTGGATGGAGGATCTCACCGACTTCGTTTACCATTTGGATGATCTGCTGGACGAGTTAGATACCGAAGCTTTGCGACTGGAGCAGATCAAGCCAGAATCTCAAGCTAGCAGCAGTACTAGTACTAGTACTAGTAAGGTACGAAAGCTCATCCCAACTTGTTGCACTTGCTTTACTCCACCTCCTAGTGCTGTTAAGCTTGATAGCACTATGATGTCCAAGGTAGAGCAACTCACTCACCGATTAGAAGGTATCGAAACCCGAAAAAGGAGACTGGATTTGATAAGGAATGTTGGAACAGTTCTTGATCGCAATATGATGTCCAACACACTACCAAAAAGACCGGAAACGTTTTCTTCCGTAGACAAATCTCACGTTTATGGCAGAGAAAATGACAAAGAAGCTATACTTGAATTGTTGTTGAGGGATGAAGACGGTGTTAACAAAGTATCTGTCATTCCCATTGTGGGCATGGGAGGTATTGGCAAGACAACTCTCGCTAAGCTGGTCTACAATGATGAAAGTCTAGAGGGTCATTTTCATCTCAAGGCGTGGGTCTGCGTTTCTGATGACTATGATGTTGTTAGAGTGACAAAGGCCATTCTTGAGGCAGTCACTTCAGAAACTCCTAAGTTGGAGACTCTGAATATGCTTCAACAAAAACTAATGGAGAAGTTGTCCAACAAAAGATATCTTCTTGTTTTGGATGATGTTTGGAACGAGAACTATGAAGATTGGAACGTCCTACGTGCTCCCTTTATGGCTGGGGCACCTGGGAGCAAAATTATTGTCACAACTCGCCTTGGAACCGTTGTATCAACCATGAGTTTGTCTCCAAGTTATAGTCTAAAATTGCTGTCCAAAGATGAATGTCTATCCTTATTTACTCATCATGCACTTGAGAAACAAAACTTTGATGCACATCCAAATCTGAAAGGAATTGGCGAGGAAATAGTGAGTAAATGTAAAGGGTTGCCTTTGGCAGTCCTAACACTTGCTGGCCTCTTGCGCACTAAGGAACTCCAGAGTGAGTGGGAGAATATATTGAATAGCAGAATATGGGATTTACCTGAACAGAGTGGTATTCTTCCAGCTCTTAAATTGAGCTATCACCATCTCCCATCTCATTTGAAGCGATGCTTTGCTTACTGCGCGATATTTCCAAAGGACTACGAGTTTGACAAAGACGAGCTAGTTTTGTTGTGGATGGGGGCAGGTCTTTTGCCGCGTTCAACAGAAAAGAATCAGATGGAAGATTTTGGCAAACAATATTTTGATGATTTGCTATCAAGGTCGCTTTTTCAACAGTCAAGTGCAAGTAAATCACCGTTTGTGATGCATGACCTTCTTAATGATCTAGCTCTACATGTTGCCGGGAATATATTCTTTAGGCTGGATAAGTTTGAGGGTGATAAGAAATTTAAAATTCCTAAACGAGCTCGACATTTGTCATATATTCGTCAAAAATTTGAAGTCCTCCACAAGTTCAGGCCTCTATGTGAAGTTCAGCATTTGCGAACTCTGTTAGCATTACCAATTCAGGCACATGCTTGGGATAATTATTACTTGGCAAACAAGGTTGTGTTTGATTTATTGCCAAAGTTACGATGTTTAAGGGTGCTTTCTTTGTCTTGTTATTACATAACTGAGCTACCGGACTCAATTGGTGATTTGAAACATCTGAGGTATCTTAATTTATCTCACACTTCAATCAAACAGTTGCCTGAATCGGTGAGTAATCTCTACAATTTAGAAACACTGTTGCTGCGTGGTTGCAAAAAACTTTCAATGTTGCCCCCAAACATTAGAAATTTAATTAATTTGCGCCATCTTGACATCGCTGATACTGTGCAATTGCGAGAGATGTCCCCAGAGATCGGTAGACTGACGAATTTGCAAACACTGTCAAAGTTCATTGTGGGCAAACAGAATATGCCAGGACTAAAAGAGTTGATGAATGTGAGGCTTTTACGAGGAAGTATTTCTATTCAAGAGTTGCAAAATGTAACAGATGTTCGAGATGAAAATGAGGCGAATTTATGGGCTGGGCAAGACATTGAAGAATTAGAGGTGGCATGGAGTAGCGAGTTCAACGATCTTCGAAAAGAAAAGCTTGAATTGGATGTGCTTGTCAAGCTAAAACCACACAAAAACTTGAAAAGGCTCACTATTGAGTTCTACGGGGGCACAAAATTTCCAACTTGGATAGGTGATCCATCATTCTCTGAAATAGTGAAGCTGACTCTTGGAGGCTGCAGAAAATGCAGATCCTTACCAGCACTGGGGCAACTACCCAAGCTCAAAGAGCTACACATCCGAGGCATGCATGGAGTACAAAAATTGGGAGTTGAGTTTTACAGGGATGATTTTTGTCTGGGACATCCCTTTCTGTCATTGGAAAGTTTGATATTTGAAGACATGCCGGCGTGGGACGAATGGTCATGTTCTATTGGTGTTGAAGAAGCTACAAGTCAATTGCCTTGCCTCCGCGTGTTCAGAATAATTGATTGTCCTAAATTGATTAGGGTTCCACTTTTGAGGCTTCCCTCTCTTGAAAAATTATATTTGGAAGAGTGTCATGGGGCGGTGCTAAAAAGTATAGTTGATGTGATCTCACTAAGTAAGTTGGAAGTTAAGAATATCATAGGGCTATATCAGTTTGAGGAAGCATTGGTGCGGTCGTTGGTAGGGCTTCAGAGTCTTGACGTCATAAGATGCAACCAACTTGTGTGCTTTGCAAAGACAGGTGTCTCGCCCACGCTCAAATCTCTTACAATACAGAAATGCGAGGCATTGACCTCTCTGCCAGATGGCATGTGCGGACTTGAAAGCTTGGAAATTGAACAATGTTCATCATTGACGTCTCTGCCCGATGGCATGTGCGGACTTGAACGCTTGGAAATTAGAGAATGTTCATCATTGACGTCTCTGCCCGATGGCATGTGCGGACTTGAACGCTTGGAAATTAGAGAATGTTCATCATTGACGTCTCTGCCCGATGGCATGTGCGGACTTGAACGCTTGAAAATTAAAGAATGTTCATCATTGACGTCTCTGCCCGATGGCATGTGCGGACTTGAACGCTTGGAAATTAGAGAATGTTCATCATTGACGTCTCTGCCCGATGGCATGTGCGGACTTGAACGCTTGAAAATTAGAGAATGTTCATCATTGACGTCCTGGCCCACCGTTGGGTTACCCACCGCCCTTAAGTATCTTAAGATCGATGATGGCATGAATTTGGAGTATTTTCGGAAGGTTTCAGAGGCGACGATGATGCTACAGCAGAAGGAGAAGGAGAAGGAGAAGGAGAAGGTAGAGGACTTTAACAACATAAATGTTATTAATATGTCATCACTTGGATGCTTAATCATCTCCAAGTGGCCAAAGGTTGGAACGTTACTACTACCTGGGGTTGAGGGGTGCGTAAATAATAATAATTTCGCTAGTCTCCGTGAATTGTATATATGGGATTGCGATGCGGTGGAATCTTTGTCCTTCCCAGAAAGAGGCTTACCCAACCTCAGATTACTTTATATCCGGAGTTGCGTGAATCTCCAATCCTTGGCTATGACCAACCAGATTCTTCAAAGCCTCGAATCCCTTCAAATCTGCATTTGTGAAAGTCTGGAGTCCATGTACTTCCCGGAAAGAGGAGGCTCTACCCCCAACAACCTCAGATGGCTTACAATCAGAAATTGTTCAAATCTGAGGCGGTTGCCATTTTTTGATCAGAATAGTCAAACCCTTAGTGAGCTCACAATACACTGGAGTCCATGTATTATGACGTCCTTTCATCAAGGGAATTGGAATTTGCCCCCCAACCTAATCAAACTTACTATTGGTGATAATGGGAAATTAGAGAAGCCCTTGTCGGAGTGGGATCTGCAAAGACTCACCTCTCTTCGACAATTCGAAATTGGTGGTGGATATCCAGAGCTGGTCTCCTTTCCTCCTCCTGATCTGCTTCCTTCAACTCTAACCTCATTATGGATCGAGAATCTGCCGAATCTGGAATCCATACCATTGAAGGCCCTCCAAAATCTCACCACTCTTCAACATCTAGCCATCATTGACTGCCCTAAGCTTCGATTCTTGCCAAAGGAAGGCCTGCCTTCCACACTTCTAAGTCTTCAGTTGGTTCGTTGTCCACATCTTAGAGAACGATGCCAAGGTGACTACTGGCCCAACATCCCCTACGTCAATTTAGATGCCGTGCTCCCCCGTACGTTTTTGTTTTGGTGAGGTAAGCAAATCAAGCTCATGTTTTTTTCATTTTCTAAAGTCTGATGCCTCTTATTTTGCATACATCCAATATGATCATCACCACGGGCATCAAATTTCCTCCTCTTTTCTTTTGCATCAATTAAATTTTATTTTATTTTTAAAATGCTTAATTTTATTGATTCTGTAGCCAAAAGGAATTCGAGAAAATAAATCATGTATTTGTGCAATTTTTTTTTTTTTTTTTTTCAGATTTTGCAGAACAAGAAATGAGTTGCGTTTCTTGTTAAGGAGCTATCTAAATATCATTTCATCTCGTTGCTTTAAAATAAGATTATTGCAACTTGGAGTCTGTTTTGGTTAGAAGTTGTAATAGAAGCATTGGGTATGTCACAGTTCTGTTCCTTCGCATCTGCGGCTCTGCCTTATTGTCTGATAAATGAAATTGCTGTAATACGTACAGGAGCTGATAAAATTTGTGACAATTCCAATCACTTGAAGTCCTTTTAACGAATGGGCAACCCCGGTAACAGTTCCTATAGATTCAACAATTCCAATCACTTGAAGACGTGTGAAATTGTTTGCAATTTAGGATGGTGTTGCAGTTCGTCTAAAGGTATTTTCTTCAGCATCACTGCGGACTGATTTTTTCTGCCCTTGCTGTCCCTGTGGCTGTTGTTTTCATCCTGTTCTCTTTTCAAAATTACTGACCTCTAAAATTACATTACCTATATGTGTGTGTTTTCAATAGAGTTTGAGACGTGAAATTTATTTCTTGCATTTGCTTCCTCAAAATTGTTCTAGATACTGCTCTTGGCTACTAACCTTGTGCGATTTTTCTGCTCCGACTGATTTATCTTTGTGTTTTATTAGATAAGAATTCTATAGAATAGCTCTTGTATGCTTATTTGTAATAATGTTGATGTGAATAGGACTTTGAGAAATATAATTTCATCTACAGTGTTTCAGAATTTCTATTTATCTTTGTGTTTTATTAGATAAGAATTCTATAGAATAGCTCTGGTATCTTTTTAATTGCTGTAGACATTAAAATTTTGCAGTGCTCTAATGGAAGTTTTGAATTGTTCTTTCCCCCTATTTAGCTATATTAGTTTGATTAATCGTCTTGTCTATTAAGTATGAGTGTATCATTGAGCATTGGTCTACTTTCGAAGTAGGAGTTTTCCTTTAAATAAAAGAGAAAAATAGGAAAATTTAAATTCATAAATCAAACATTAGCTGGTTATGCATAATTAACATAATTATTTTTAGTTTTATTGGACCAAGAATTGATGCAATTCTAGTATATGTAGTTTGATAATTGTCAAACCTAGTTCCAACTTTTGTATCTCCATGCCCCCTAAGCTTCTTTGCTATTCGATTCGTTCCTTAATTAAGTTTTTCTTCCCAACAATCAGAAAAGCCTGATCCCGTTTTCCACGATCCAAAAAGGTAGCAACATCTTTGCTATGTTGAATCTTGTTGTCGGACCTGTTTGAAGAGGTTAAAAAGCAGTACTACAATTACAATCTCTAATAATATCTCTAATATGTAATTGATTCGGATTGATTGAGGAGCTTCCATTAAAATTCACAAAATTGACTGCTGGAGTGACTGGGAATCATAATGGCTCAGAAAAAGAAAATGACAGTTTTCTAATTTTTTGAGTGAGAATTCTTCGAATTTCCTAATGGTTAAATAACCTAAAAATGGCACTATCAAATTTGTTTTCACGGTAGAACTAATAAAGTAAACCTTGTTTTGATTCTTTCCACGGAAACCAGCAACACGTAAAGGATTAAATCACATATCTTTTTGCTATACCTCCAGGGTCCATCCAACCGAACCAAGTTGAAGATAGACAGCATTGCTGAGATTCATTTGTAATGATGCTTTTCCGAACAAGCCAAGTCTGGGAAAAGGTGAGATTATAGTTAATGTTGCTTTTCTGTTATAATTTGTATTGTATTTAGAGTTTATTGCTATGATTTAATGTTTTTTGGGTTGTAATTATGGAGTTCACTGGAGAATTTTTTACTTGTAGATTGGCGATGTGGCTTGCACTTGGATCCAAAATCCCAGAGTTCCATCCTCCAAGGTGTGAATGTGTTGTAATATGTTGGTATATACGACGATATCTATGTCACGGAGTTGGTGGGGTTCTATGATTTATGGGTGCCCAGGAAGGGTGACTGTGGATGCTTTAGCGATGTTAGAAGGGAGGAATTGGAGTTCTCTGCGTTGCTTGTGAATTTGGGGAATTGTACACTGTGTTGTTGACTTGTTGATCCTGTTTTCTAATTTGTACCTTGGCTTTGGGAGTTTCTTTTTCATTTATGAAGGAAGATTACGTAACCAATATTGCATGTGCGTGGCTGACTGTCTTTCACTTTGTTTAGGAACATTTACATGAATTATCTTCAATTGTGTACTAAAACTAGTAGTTATCAATCTGTTCCATATAATTATAATCCGTTACCACACATGGCATAGATGAAGTATATATGACTGCACTAAGATTTCGTTATTGTGAGGTGTTGGAGCACATGGTTGGGTTGTAAGAAATTTTGATAGGTCGATCCAACTGATTTGATTGGGTTCGGTTGTCAGAACCAAAAAGAACTGCATCAGATTAGTCATGGAAATGACCTGGTTTTCTGATGGTGCTTGTAAATTAAGTTGGATTTTTCTATGCAAGTCTGGCCGTTGCTGTGTTAAACTTGGGATTGTTCTATGTTGTCTCTCTGCGACTAAAAGTAAGAGTTCAGAGTTCATCACTGTTAAGCTATATGTCTAAGTGTTCAATTCTGTTTTCTCAATATTCTTCATTGTTTCATATTAAAATGCTACAGATATATTAATAGTACTTCACATCTATATAGGAACCTTTACCTAGACCTACCAGTTGGGAAAAATTGTTGGAGAAAGTATCACTTGAAGTGAGTGGACCAAGAGACGCTTAGTTAGAGATAGAAACTTTTGGGATATTCTTCTTCCTAGCAATTGCTCTTGGAGTTGGAGGAAGATTCTAAGACTTAGAAGAAGTGTTCGACCTTTTATATCTCACTGTGTGAAGAATGGAAGGAAATCCTCTATTTTGTTCGACTCTTTGCTGCCTTGTGGTCTCCTCTACGAAAGTGATTCATGCTCACCCAAGATAAGGATGGGGCATCAACCAAAACCCATATCTCTGCAAGTGCGTTTCAAAACGCTGGTACGGTTTGATCTCCACTCCTCACTTTGCTTGATGCTATGTCCGAAATTGTTCATCTTTGGTGCCTCCTTTTGCCCTCTTCTACCAGCACCAAGCTCATGATCGTTCTGTTAAATTGACATCCGAATCATCCATTTTTGAATCTCGTGGGTTCTCTCTTAACTTCCTTCCATCTCGGAATGCTTCATCATCAGATTCAGATCAACGTCAACCAGAACCAGTTCGTTACTTATCATACAGCAATGGCTTAGTATTATGCTATTCAGCCTCCACTCTTCATAGGGTTTACTATGTATGCAACCCCTCACAATGCATTGGGTTGCGCTTCCTCCACCGCCCACTTTCCCGGGAAGTGTTAGCATCAGATTTGTTTGCAAACCATCTGATTCTTTTGATTGCGCCAGTAGCTTCAGAGTGGTTCGAATCCACGCCTTCAAACCATCTCAACTTATATGTCCATCCATCTCTTCCATCCATCTCTTCCATCTATGAGCAAACATTTCAGTTAGTTTATAATCTTGATTAATAGCAATTTCAATTGAGTAGTGATACTCATACTGAAGACTTGCAATAAATTACCTAACCGAATAATTTTTAATTGGTTATTTATACTAAATACAACTAAATGAAGGGTTCCACTTCTTTATTTGTTAATAATTGACCAATTAAAAGAGTAGTTTTAACAATTCACTGCAACTATTCAGGGCAAGAATCATTTTTCCATTTCAAATTTTCAATTTCCCTTTGCAATGTGATGGCATCACATAGCTGTTGAAGAACAATACTTACATATATATGTGCGCTCGTGTGTGTGTGTTCACACTATATCTGTATCCTTTTTTTTCTTTTTCAAATTTAATGTGTTAAATGTGTATGTGTCAACGCTACTTGCACCTATTTACTTCAAAATATTGTTTTGACCTGTCAAAGTAATTTTACAAATGACAAATAACGTGCAACTAAAAAAGAAATATACATGTACATGCTAAAACTTAAAATGAATGTTTTTTTATCTCCAGAATTTGACAGAAAATAAAATGACGTATTGTCACGTGACCATGTCTAAACTACTTGCACCGATTTTACTTTCAAAATTTTGTTTTCACCTGTCAAAATAAATTTACAAATGACAGATAATGTACAATTGAAAAAGGAAAATAGGGACAGACTAAAACTAGAAAATGAATGCTTTATTATTATTTTTTTCCTGGGAAATGGGCAGAAAATGAATGTTGATTCATCAAAATATATGCACAAAACTAGAATTTGAATAAAAAATGGCATGTAAATGATAGAATTATAAATAGGAGTCGGTTCACTCTCCAGACTAAAAACAAAGGTGAATAGTAGTATAATTTTCCTACACGCGACGGTTGTGCTTGGATCTCCTCCTCCCAGAAGACAAATCGTTGGAATCTTCATCATCATCCTCCTCTGTAACCCCAAAATCCCACTTTGATAGGCTATCCCACGAACTGTTTGTACAAATTCTCCAAAGAATTCCTCTCAAACTCATCCATCTCTCAAGTGCGTTTCAAAGTGTTGGAATAGTCTCATCTCCAGTCGTCACTCCACACTATCCTATTCCCACAATTGTTCTTCTTTGGTGCCTCCTTTTGCCCTCTTCTTCCAGTCCGATGATCCACAATGTGCTGTCCATTTAACATCCCAAACACCCATCTTCAAGTCTCGTGGGTTTTCTATGAAATTCCTACCCTCTTCGAACCCATCATCAGATCAACAACAAGCAGACCCGGCCAATTCGTTACTTAGCATCAAGCAATGGCTTAGTATTATGATCTTCAACCTTGACTTTTCAGAGGGTTTACTATGTCCGCAACCCCCTCACAATGCATTGGGCTGAGCTTTCTCCACCACCCACTTGCCAAGAAAGGGTTCTCATTGAATTTGTTTGCAAATCATCTTATTCTTTTGATAGTACTAGCTGCACAAGTAGCTTCAGAGTGGTTCGAATCCACAAGTTCGAACCACAACATATCCTACCATTACATTCCAAATGTGCACGCTCAACCAATCTCAAAATGGAAATATTCTCTTCAGACACATGAAAATGGACTGAAAACATCATCTCGACATGGGGACAGAACTTTAGTCCGTGTTCCTACCTTTCTCGTGTTGTGGCTTGCAACAGAATACTCCATTTGTTGTACCTTTATTGTGGTAAGATTTTCGCCTATGATCCATTCAACAACACTAATCATTTTCGTACCATAAGAATTAAGACAGCCCAAGGACAGATACCCCAAGGCCTTTGGACATTGGTTGGGAGAGCAACAAGGACGCCTCAGGTTTATTCAATATAATTTTCCCTCCCTCAGCATTTGGGAACTCAAGGACTACAATGGGCTTGAATGGTCCTTGGTGCACAAGGTTTATATGGACGGGATGGAATCAGATAGTTGCAGGTGGTTTCCTATTAATAATGCAGGCTTCTCTCATCATGTGTCAATACTGCCTCTTCATTCCATTAACGGAGACATTATATATCTACATAGTTTTCGTGAAATTCTAATCTGCAACATGAGGAGCAGAACTTTGAAACAAGTCTGTTGTCTTGGCTCTATTCATACGCTGGTGCATTCGATGGCCTTTCCCTTTGTGCTCCCATGGTGGCCTACATCAGTTCCTCAATTCCAATAGAATACACTCGAGTAATAATATTTACCCTCAGAATGATATGGATATGTTTCTGTCACTTTGTCTAATGTCAGGCAATTAGAATTGAACCCAGTAACTTGGATATGAATACTTCATGTATATTTAGTTACCATTGTACCTAATAGCAATAGTGATATTGCAACAGATTTTTAACCGAAGAATAAGGTTGATCTTTTCTTTTTCTTGATTTGTATTTTTAGAACTGATGGACGAAGCATCAAAGTGTCAGAATCTAGAACTAATATCCAGGCCCAAAAGGATCCTGTCAATCCTAAACAGGAGGCTGCTGCTGAGGAACCTACTCGAGACCAACTTGTAGATGAGCCAGGGATCCATCAGGGTGATATTAGAAGTAACAAACTCCACATTGGAGAAGATAACACTGAAAAACTCCAACAGGAGGGAACAAGTACATAAGCTCAAGGCGTGGTGAGTCAGACCACCTTAGTACTCAGTTCATCTACTACAACTCAAAACCAATCAGTTATATTGCAAGGAATTAACTTTGCTCTGGTTAACTTTAGCGTCTTGTTTGTGATGTCAAGATAATGACTTTGTTCGGTCAAATGAAATACTACAATTTTTGTATACTGCTAATATTTTCTTGAAAACAAGCTTTGTGGTTTCTTGAAAACATGCTCTGTGAATAACATGGAACTGTTTATGTGACTTGACTCTGCAGGGCCGGCCTTGAGATTCCAAATATTTTGAGAGGCCCTAGACAAACTTTCAAATGTGAGGCCCTTAAGTTTCACATGTGCAAAAAAAAAAATTATAAGAGTGCGAAATTTTCACACGATGTTTTCAAATTCTATAGCTTATATAATTGTGCGCTTGTGCATTGTGCATAAGACAACTAACTAATAACTATAAATTTATCACCACCAACAAATAATTGTGCGTCTGTACAGTGTGCATAAGACAAGTAATTAATAATTATAAATTTATCACCACCAATAAATAATTGTGTGCCTGTGCAGTATCTTAAGACAACTAACTAATAACTATAAATTTTTATCACCACCAATAAATTATTGTGCGCGTGTGCAGTTTGCATAAGACAACTAATTAATAACTATAAATCTATCATCACCAATATATACATGTGCGCACGTGCAGTGTGGATAAGACAGCTAACTAATACAATAAATCTATCAATTAAAGAGTGTAAAATTTTCACAAGGACAAAATTTAAAATGAAGAGAACAGTTTACTAGAGAACAGAAAACTGCAGCTTCTTTTACATTCATTCTTTATATAGCTACTAAAATTTGATGATTACAGATGACAAAAATATGTGGAGATGAGGTGACTATATATATTATAGGACGCTGAACTTGGTAGTACTGAAGAAGTAGTGGGACTTTTAGGTTATATGTGGCATCCACTATCATATATAGTATTGTCTTTCACTCTTTGTATTAACTACACTACACTTTGTGTTTGTTTTTTTTTTGGAGCC